GGAGGGGGAGAGGGGGAGAAAGAGAGTGACAAGGGAGGGAGGGGGAGAAAGAGAGTGACAAGGGAGGGAGGGGGATAAAGAGAGTGACGAGGGAGGGAGGGAGGAGGAGAAAGAGAGTGACAAGAGAGGGAGAGAGATTGACATCCATCACACACACACACACAATCGCACAATCATGCAAATCTTACACACACAGAAACACACAATGCATTCCTTACACACACTAAATGCACCCCGTACACACACTCAATGCACCCCTTACAGACGCACACACTGCATCCCGTACATACACAGAAACACACCTTGCAGCCCTTACACATACAAACACAGATTCACACAATGCATTCCTTACACACATATCAGGACATCCCCTACACACTCCACCCCCTGTGCACAAACTCATTGGTGGAACATGAAGGTGGACCCTGGGACCCAGACCTTGAGCTGTGTAAAAGGCCCCCAAAAAATGGAGCTGCTTCCCGTTCTCCCAGAACATTGATTTTTGTGACCACAGTTACAAACAGCCTCCTGAGAGCCTGTTCTACACCAGACCAGTGGAGCCAGACTGCAGCTAGAGCCCATCATCATCCTCATCTGGTTGTAAGTAGGCAATCTAGCATATTATTTGTGGCACTAATCTCTAATTTACATGGAAAGGGGTTCTAATATAAATGGAAGGGGTAGAGACGGGTAGTAAAATGTATGGAATGCATTTCTGAAAGTGTCACTGAATGGCAGTTAGGAAATGTGGTCACCCTAAGTCAGGGGCAGTATTACACAATCTGTATATGTATAAAAAAAGATAAAAAGTAATCAAAATGTTTGTGTCATATGTCGTGCTAAAAATTAAGCTAGGAATGTGCATTTTTTTTATTTTTTTAAAATAATTTTTAGAATAATGATACAGACATTTTATTTCTTACATTTGTGATGATTCTTTTTTCCTCTCTATATTCAAGGGACACTATAGTCACCAGAACCACAACAGCTAAATGTAGTAGTTCTGGTGTCTATACTCTATAGCATGTCTTTGCAGGCTTTTTAATGTAAGCATAGCCATTTTGTAAAAAGGCAGTATTTACATTACTGATGAGGAATACCTCCAGTGGACACTCAGATGGCCACTAGAGGTGCTTCCTAGTCGAGACATGAATGCCGCCCTATGAAGTATCTGTGCATGTGCGGCAAAGCTTTGCATGCGCACCAGAGAGCAATGACGCTTCTGAATAGAAGCGTTTTATTGCTCCCTGCTCGCACCCTCCTATTTCGTTATTATAGCATCAGGAGGATCCCGGCGCTGTATCCAGATAAGTAAAATCCCTTCCCTGTAGTGACCCTTTAAAGTTATTATTTAATCATTTATATAGCAACTGCAAATTCCGTACAATGGGATAAACAACTCATAGTTTACGGAACAAGAATATACCTGGCGGGGATAGGAAGGACAGCAGTCGCAGGAATCTAGAGCTCCGTGCACCAAACGTCGGAAAATCTAATAAAATAATACCCACAGACCCCCAAACGTCGGCGGAGACCCCCCCACAGCAAAGCAAAGCACAATGGGGAAGAAAAATAAAAAAACGGGACCAGACAGACATACCTCTGAATGGACGATCGGCGAAATGTGGAGGCAAGCACGAGGCACGATGGAGCCTAACATGGCGGCCCTTCATGGCGGCTGTTCCGATTTCTCGGAACTACATGACAGCCCCGGCCATAACACGGAAGGCCAAGCCAACTGGAACCGACGGTGAGTTGGTAACCACAGGGGTTAGCCCAGCCGAGATAAAGGTCGGATGACCGCAAGGAAGGGAAGGGGGGAATAGCCGACGTCCACAAGCTTTTGTTAACAGAGACTTTTCCCTTTCCTTTTTCTATTGTTTGCCTTTTTGTATCTCCCACGATAACTCAGCGGAGCATCCGGTTTTTGCCTGTCTGGACTAGATCGTGATCACTTACCACTAACACTCTGCCATGTATATCGCGTCTGTTGCCATGATAAATGCAGATTTATATACCGCAGTGTGTCGCTAGACTAACAAGTATAGACGTATTTATAACTACAATTCCAGAAACCTTACGGCTCATGTTACAAGCGTGTTTAATTTTTAGTTTTGGTTAGTTTGTTCAGAATTGTTCTTTGCATGTCGCACGTATGGAGAGGCAGCGCATGATATCTAGCCTGGCCACTCGGCACGCAGCACCCACTCACCGTTAGACGACTTAAAGGACCACTCTAGGCACCCAGACCACTTCAGCTTAATGAAGTGGTCTGGGTGCCAGGTCCTTCTAGGGTTAACCCATTTTTTAATAAACATAGCAGTTTCAGAGAAACTGCTATGTTTATTAATGGGTGTTTTCAAAGTTCTAGTGGCTGTCTCATTGACAGCCACTAGAGGCGCTTGCGTGCTTCTCACTGTGATTTTCACAGTGAGAGCACGCCAGCGTCCATAGGAAAGCATTGTAAATGCTTTCCTATGCGACCGGCTGAATGCGCGCGCAGCGCTTGCCGCGCGTGCGCATTCAGCCCAGGAGGAGGATTGGAGGAGGAGAGAAGGAGGAGAGCTCCCCACCCAGCGCTGGAAAAAGGTACGTTTTACCCCCTTTCCCCTTTCCAGAGCCGGGCGTGAGGGGGTCCCTGAGGGTGGGGGCACCCTCAGGGCACTATAGTGCCAGGAAAACGAGTATGTTTTCCTGGCACTATAGTGGTCCTTTAATGCCACACAGGCAGGTCACGTAGCGATTGATATTAAACCTGTCTCTGATCAGGTCACTATTGCCCTGACCCCTACATACATCTAGACAGAGCTCTCAGAGAGCTCAGTGATTCCTCTTGCGCTGTAATTATTTTCTAGACCTTCCCCTTTGACTTCCACAATGACTCTAAGGATGCTGAAGCTAGGAGTCCTGTGTCGATATGTACAACGTAGTTATGAACAAAGGGGCTATCTGAATTAACCATCCAGAGTAGCCTACCCACCCGCTCATTTACTTAATATACTTCACTACAACCCCTTAGATCTGCTGTTCCTCATGTTTAAAGCACCTGCCTAGACTCTCAAGCAGACTAGCTTGTCCCAGCACTTCTAACACTGCAGTAGTACACCGCAATGCAACTTACCTCACACACACCAGAATCTACACTGCAGTAGCATTCCACTACGGTTCAGCCTGTTATATTGTTCTTGCTTTCCCATTTTTTGGGTATGTTCGCCCCTTTCGGCAGTTCTTGTTATGTGATTTGCGTCAGTGGCCCACCCTCTTACTACGTCCATCGACTTCCTGCTTTACTGGACACTGCTGTTAATGGGTAAGGATATACTGGAAAGATGAAAGCATGAGATTAGCACAGGGTATGTGTTTTCTCATAGCTGCATCCTATGAGCTTC